GTTTTAAATAATGTTGTTTTATAAAATTTATTGTATTCTTGTTTCTTTTTAAAATTCATATCCTTAAATTAAATATTTTCTAAAATAAAAAATATCAAATTTTTGGGAGAAAATTAACAGAACTTTTTACTACAGACTCTTGTCATGAATTAGGTCATGACACTAGTTAAATAATTGCATTTTTTTGCTTATATATTTTATTATTTTTTAACGTTTAAAACAAATTTTTATCTTATTATAAATGAAAATTCCTTTCATATTACAATGCTTGTCAATAACCTTTTGTAAAATCAAAACAAAGTACAAACTTAAAAACTTAGATCAATTAGTTATTTTAAGCCCTAAATGAACATTAAACAACCCTTCGTTATGATTAAATCAGAATGAATACAAAGACACCTGTTTAAACAAATAATAAAAAAGTTTGAACGCAAAGATTTAAAACCTACCAATATAAAATCCGTAATTCCTAACACACCTTTAGTTTACGAACATTGTGGGCATTTAAGCCATAACCTCTTTTTTAATGAAATGGTGGACTATTTGTGTAATGGTACGGTCATTTGTATGATTTGAGAGGGATTGATTCTATTGATGTATGCAGGCGTATAATTGTCTTACTAATCCATTAAAGGCTGCTATGAGGTCAATAAGAGCAGATTCGCAGTAAATTCCAATGAAAATGTCATACACAGAAATGATACTGAGGAAAGTGCTTACAAAGAAATAGCTTTATGGTTTATATAAATTTTTATTTGACATCTTTATATATAATGACTTATTTATCAGTTAAATTTTTATTATAAATTTATTTATACTGTCATTTTTTTCTTTTTATAACCACCAATTTAATATTGTTAACAATAAATACTTAATAATAATATATAAGATAATAAAAATAAGTCCAATATTATACACCAAAATACCCTTTTATTTTTACCCCTGAATGAAAGACCAAATCAAAACAGCAAACAAATTTCTTCTTAACCGCTACAATAAAATAAAGCCATCAATTAAAGAACAAGCTTTTAGACTTACATGGGTTAATTTTATACGTAAGAAAGTTATTAAAATATATCCAAATTCTTCTATAAATCTTTTTGGTAGTTTTTTTACTGGTCTTTATGTCCATTCTAGTGACATCGACATATCATTGAAGATAGATACCACTGATCAGAATTTGGTCTTAAAAAATATAAAACATGAACTTTACAAAACAGGGTTATTTACTTTTATTAATCATTTATCTCATG